AAGGGTTTGCAGACCATTTCCCATAGGCTGCAACCACCATCCACGCTCCCCCTCCAAAAAAATCAAACTCAAGAAATAAAACAAGAGGATGCAAAAGTCTAGGAAGATGGCCCTATTCGAGGAGAAATCCAGAGTGCCAGGGACAGGACACATTCCGTGGTGATGAACAAACATCAATAGAGAGGAACCCAGAGCATCCTCCTCTGTCAGGACCGTGTGACACAAAGTAGCTGATCACACCGATCATCCTCAGCTCCTTGGCCATTCCCCCACAGTGAGATTTGCAAACTTGAGGTCCCCCCCCCAGCTTCTTGCTTTTCATTGCTGAAAATGTTCGTATATAGATTATTTCAGCTCTGTTTAAGGGTCTTCCCTAAAGACAAATTCTCAAAGAGCACATTTCCTAAAGTGATGTGTGTGTGTGCATGTTGGTGTATGTGCACACACGTGTGAGCAGGTGTTTACATGTATGCACAGACATGCAGAGGCCAGAGGTCAGCATTGGATATCTTCCTCAACTGCTCTCTGACCCGTTCTTTAGACTTACTGACTACATAGGAGCTTCTCCTAAAACTTTAAACACTAGAAAAGACACTGTCCTTGGGACCTGGCTCTCTGTTACCTCATCCCTGAAAGTGCTGACCTCACGTGATTTCCTGTGTTTGGGCACTAGAAACCTACCTGTATGTGTTGACTGCAAAGCAGAAGTCACGCAGACTTCCCCGCATTTGGTATTTCAGGGACTTTGACACAAACTAAACATCTTGTTAACCAAAGAGACCAGAGATTGTACAACGGTTGCTCCTAATAGAACACCTGAGCCACTGAACCGGAGATAGATGAACACGGAGTCTTAAGGGCGTGCTCGGCAGTGGCTAGGTTTTATGAGTAGCCAGAAGAGAGTCAGACTCCAGGGTCATCTTTCCAGAAAGAAGCAGGAAGCACTTCGGGCTGGTGAGATGGTGGTGAGAAGGCGGACTTTTCTTCATGGCGGAGCCTCACTGGAGAGCCGGGAGCCACGCCCTCCGAGCTGAACGTCGTTGGCACTGACTATATGACCTTACGCTTTGGAACCTTTATTATCTGAAAACCGGGGCTAATAATAGAGTTTTGCTCATGCCAGCTCTCCCTAGGTTCGCAGTCTGTTCATTTCCTTCTTCTTCAGCACGTTCTTTATTCCGCCTCGAGTTTTGGGAAGTAGCCTTGGTAACTTTCCAAGGGCGGGCGTCCAGCCGTCCCTGTCCTCGAAGCCAGCCACGCCCTGTATGCAAGGAGCTTATCAGCTGGGGCGCAGCAGAAGAAGAAAGCGTAGTCGTTTGGACAGGAGGAACATACGATCAGGAGTTACAAATATCTAGTAGAAGCGACTTCCAAGACGGGACGAGAACATAAAGGTTACTCTAGAGCTAAGAAAGAAATGCCCACGGAGGGGCAAACTTGGAAAGGGCCCTCTCTCCATGACACCTCTGGAAAAGGTGTGGCTGTCACCCCCAAGATGGCAGAGGAGTTCCCCAGCTGGGTGCCAGGCACTGAACAACAGAAAGTCTTCTGGGGCACAGGCAAGGTGAGGGTAGAGGCCAGGTGTGCCAAGGGAGTTGGCCCACACTACCAGTGCAAGGCTGAAGCGCGCACAGTGCCCGCCTCAGGAGGGCCAGAGAGAAGTGGTTCCTGGGCCCGCTGCCAGGACTGCAAGGTCATTGAGTAGCTGCCCTCCAGGCACACAGCAGGGCAGAACAGCATCTCTTTCCACAGACTGCGCATACCTTCCAGGACCCAAGCCCGAAAGAGGCTAACCTTTCCCCAGTAGCCTCCCTAGATCGCCCTCTATGGGCAAGCTTTAGTAGTACATGCTCTAGAGGAGAAATGCCCACAGGGTCCTCTCCTTCGAGCTGTGAAGCGATAATGTGGTGTGTTGGTGGTTCTTTCTTAGGTTTTAATTGCAGTTGTGGAATTGGTTCAGTCACTAAAGTACTTGCCACACAAGCAAGAGGACCCGAGTTTACATTCGCAGCACTCCTGTAAAAATCAGGTGTGACGGCACCCTTTTGTAATCCCAGTATTCGGGTGGGGTGGCAGATATAGAAGGGTCCCTGGAGCACACTGACCAGCCAATAGCCAAATGGATGAGATCCAGGTTCAGTGATAGACCCTGCTTCGGAAGATAAGGTTGAAGGGCCGGGAAGATGGCTCAGGGGGTAAAAGCACCTGCTTTGCAAGCATGAGGATCTGAGTTCAAATCCCCAGCACCCAAGTAATTAGGCAAGTGTGGTCATATGCTCCTGTAACTCCAGCTGTGTGGGGGTCTGGACATAGGAGGCTCACCAGAGCTTGTAGACTACCAGTCTAGGGCCAGGATCAGTGAAAGACCCTGTCTCAAGGGAATAAGGCCAAGAGTGACAGAGATACATGGCATCCTCCACAAGATACGCATACCCTCACAGCACACACACACACACACACACACACACACACACACACACACGCCAACCTAATCTTTTTTAAAAAAATAGTAAAGTTGATGAAAGAAGACACCTGATATCAATATCTGGCTCTCTCTCTCTCTCTCTCTCTCTCTCTCTCTCTCTCTCTGTGTGTGTGTGTGTGTGAGAGAGAGAGAGATTGTATAATTAATAAGTTAAAATCACACAGCTTGCCAGTGGCTCTCTTAACACCTGCCTACTTCCCTTTCTTTGAATACCGTACATTACACCAATAAATGTCAAACCTCTTTGCTTCTCTTGTAATTTACTGTCTAGAAAGCCCCATCCCCTCAGGAGTTCTATTCTGTCTTCCTTCTCCTCCTGGTTTACACTTGAGAACGAGTGAGAGGCCGACTCTGACTCCCACAATCCTTCATTTCATAACTGATTTTTTTTTCCCACCCAGACCCTATTGGTTTGCCCACTGTCTGTTTTGTTTTAAGGCAGTCCATCTGTCCATCCCAGACAGTAGGAGTGCCCAGAAGCGTGGGACTGCAAGAGGCAGTAGGAGGAGCTGGGTTCATCTAAAAAGCCACGCTTTCTAAGCCTTTGAGGAATGTGCCACAGGCATCTCAGGGCAGGTTGGAAGTTCGTGTCACCTGACCCGTCAGACCTCTCAACTTATTAGAAGAGTAGACAGTGGGGGGCCTGAGGACACGGCTCGTTAGGTAAAATGCTTACTGATTCCCAGCACCGACATAAAAAGCTTGTGTCTGGTGGCATGGAATGCTGGGAGGCATGGAAACGGGAGGATCACAGCGGCTCACCAGACAGCCTGTCAAACTCCAGATTCAGCGAGATGCCCTGTTTCAAAACTAAGGAGAGAGTGACAGAGGGACTCTGTCTTCCACACTTCACGTATGACCACTTACATTTACACCAGAAAGGAGGAAGAAGGAAAGAAAAGAGACAGGCGATAGAGCAAACAAACAGCAGGCTTGGCAGAGAGTTTCTGATTGACCACCGGGCTAAAACGCTCACCTGTCAGGTGAAGAGCCCTCCCACACTGCACCTCTGAAGGGTATAGTCTTAGCAACAATGGTGCACCGACACAATGTTGGTAGGCATCTGCCGTCGTATTCTTACGAAATACCCCATCCTCTGTGGCAGAGTTCAGGGGGATCAGTGGTCATGGATGAGCCCCTGCAGTGAGGTGGGGTGCATCCTCCAAAGATAACATGACTTTCCAAACCTCATCTGCTTCCTGTCCTTGAGAAGCTGCCTCATCACTTCAGACCAAAATATGGGTAGGTGTGTGCACACCTGCGTGTGTGGTGTTCTAGGCCAAAAGAACCTAGCCAAGCTGTACGCTGTTGACATATAGATGAAATCGCACTCTCATAAAAAATGTACGTTTGAGTTGGGAATATGGCTCAGCTGATAGAGTGTTTGCTTAGTGTACGTGAGGTCCTGGGCTCAGTTCTAAGAACCTTGTAAGACCAGGCATGGTGATGCAAGTCTGTAATCTCAATACTGGGAGGGTGGAGGCAGGAGGATCAGAAGTTCAAGGTTGTATCTGGAAGCCTGGGCAACAGTGAAACCCTGTCTCAAGAAAGAAAGGGCGGGGGAAGCTGCATGTAGTAGCACACCCCTTTAGTCCCAGCACTCAGGAGGCAGAGGTAGGCAGATCTCTGTGAGTTCAAGACCAGCCTGGTCTACATAGTGAGTTCCAGGACAGCCAGGAAAACAAAGAAACCCTGACTTTAAAAAAATAAAAAATGGCCGGTTGGTAGTGGCGGCACACACCTTTAATCCCAGCACATGTGGATCTCTGTGAGTTCGAGTTCAGCCTGTTTCTACAAATGATAGCTAACCCTAGGCAAAGGAAAGGGTTTGAGGTCTGTTTTCTCTTTGCCGGTCTCTTTTCTGCAATGAGAGCATATTTGTGAATTAAACACATAAAATAAGTTAATCAAGGGCTGGTGAGATGGCTCCGCAGGAAAGGCACTTGCTGCCAGGCCTGACAACCCGAATCAGATACCCCAGGACCCACATGGTGGAAAGAGAGCCAACTCCGGCAGCTTGTCCTCTGACCTCCCCATGGCTACCCTGGCGTGCATAAATGCACACAAATAAATAAACGCAACTAACTTTTTTTTTAACTCAACGAAAAGACACACATATTTTCCTCCCCTGATCTTGGGCTGTGTCACTATTTTTTGTCCCCAGTCTCACCAGACCCTCCCAGCCTCTGCTCAGATGAGCCTGCCAAAACCCAGCAGTCTTCAATTTTTTGGAAGGCGTTTTTGGAAAAGATTTATTTCCTCATTCTTTGAACTTCTAAAAACAGCCCACTTTTTCATCTACCCCTCAGCATGCGATGACAGCTGCTACACCTGCCTCTGACGCGACAGAACCTAAGTGAGGAATAAAATCCTGTCATGATTCTCGCTCGTTCTGTGGCAGGCGAAGCTTGGGCTGTGGGGGCCACGGGAAGGCGCGCGGTGGGGTGTCATCCCGCCCCGGGCACTCGGCAAGGCTTCATCCGCTGACCTTTGATGTGCTGCTCTGTCCTTTCAGATTTTTGACAGCGAAGCCAAAGACCTGGAAAGAGAAGTGTGCTTCATCGATATCGCCTGTGACGAGATTCCAGAGCGCTACTACAAAGAGTCTGAGGTGCGTGATCCAAACAGGAGAATTACGGATGCACTCATTCATTCATTCCACACAGTATTTGTGAAGCACTTCCTATGCCTAGAATCGTCCTTTGTTTTAGTCTTGACATCTCACAGGTTCTTTAAGGTTGGTCTTTTTTTTTTTTTATTTGACGTGAGTGTTTTCTGTCCACTAAGTGCATGCATTGCCTCCAGAAACCAAAAGAGGGCATCAGATCCCTGGGAACTATAGTTATTGGTGGTTGTGAGCTGCCATGGAGGTGCTGGAAATTGAACCCAGATCCTCTGGAAGATCAGCCAGCACTCTTACTCCCTAAACCGTCTCTCCAGTCATCTCTGGGTTCTTTAGTGCTGGACTCAGAATGAAGTCCCCAAGCCCTTCACTAAATCCCGCTGCCATTCCCAACCCCTCCCCATCCCACTCGGCAGAGGGATCCCTGGGGCTAAGCATTCAACACGCTGGCTTTTCTGAACACAGCAGCCTGTCTGTGTGAGGATGCAGACAGCATTTCATTTCTGTCTTTGGAGTTTAACATAAAGAAAATCCTCAGTCAAGCCTCAAAACTTTGATGGCTCATGTTGGCCCAGAAACATTCTCTCAAAATAGCAGGCACCTTCCCGAGAGCTTCTCTTCTCAGCTGAGAATACTTGAGCCAGAACACTTTCCCCTCCGGCTTGTCCCCTGCCAGAATCTGCCCTCTGCCTCGCCGCGCCCGCTTTATGGCACTGTTGGCACCAGTCATTATTATATCCTGTTAGTGTCTTATTAATGGCTGCTGATGGAGCTGAAGCGACCCGCTTGTAGACAGTGTCCCAACCCTGGGGTGACAACAGACGCAGGGCTATTTTTGTTGTTTAGCGACGTGCAGCCAATCATGGTATGTTTAGAATCAGGGCCCCAGACTTGTCCTTGAGCTATAACACATGGGCCTTGAAGCTCTTCCCTCGGATTCATCAAGGCTGATTGAAGATCCCGTGCATAAGCCCATTGAAAGTAAATTCCGGGCTCCTGGGATGGTTGTGCATACAGTTAAAGGTGCTTCCAGCTAAGTCTTGACGTCCTGAGTTCAGTCCCTGAGACCTGAATGATGGAAGGCGTACAGACACATTCCCACAGGTTGTCCTCTGGTCTCCATACACAGACTGTACACACACACACACACACACACACACACGCAAATAAATAAATAAGTACATAAAGAAATGTTTAAAAATGTTACAAACTGGGCTTCCTTGTACTTTAGATCTTTACCTCCCTATTGGGGGATTTGTTTGACTAGAAAAGTCTTACTTGGTTTTAGCAGATGCCTGCCTGATGCATTGCAGGCTGGACTTTGGTCCCTCAAGACTGGAAAAAGGGCCAATTAGAATCATTCTGTGCCACATGCATTCATCCAAAGGCTAAGCATACTGTTGTTATCAACTTTATGAGACCCTGCAGGCAGCCAGACCTGTGTGCTTTAAGAAAAACCAAGTTGCAGCTAAAGAGATGGCTCAGCAGTTATAAAAGCCCTGATTGCTCTTCCAGAGGACCCAGGTTCGATTCCCAGTGCCCACACGTGGTGGTTAACCACTGTCTGTAACTTCAGCCTGGCACCTTCCTCTGGCCTCTATGAGCACTGCATGCACGTGTACAGACACATGCAAACAAAGCACCCAAACACATAAAATAAGTAATGATAAATCTCAAAAAGATAATTTTAAAGAAAATAAAACATAATGGTCCAGACATGTTTCTGTATGCTTGGTAAGTTGAGGCAGGAGGAGTTTGAAGGCAGCCTTGTCATTATAAATAGACCTTGTCTCAATCACACCAGAAAAGCTGGGGGGCAGAAGGGAAGCAGGAGTGGGGGGATAAATAAATAAAATGAAAAGGAATTTTTGGGGTGTTGTTAGGGTTTTTTTTATTGCATTTTGTGGCATATTGCATATACCAAAGCACACTTGTGGAGGTCAGAGAAAACTTTCTTGCCCATTTTGTTTTGTTTTTGGAGACAGGGTCTTAGCTCTGGCTTTTATTATACTTTAGTATGTATATGTACATGTGTGTGTGTGTTGGAGGACAGAGGTTGAAATCTCGTATCTTCCTTCATACCTCTTGACCTGATTTATTTTTAAGATTCATTTCTGTTGCATTTTTAAAGTGTGTGCGCGCGTGTGTGCATGTGTGATGTGAGTGTATGTGACTATGGAGCCCAGAAGAAAGCATCAGATCCGGAGCTGGAGTTAGAGGTGTATGAGAGTCATCTGACGTGGGTGCTAGGAACTGAACCCAGGTCTTCCGGAAGTGCACATAAGCACTGTGCTATCTCTCCAGCCCTCTGCCTTGACCTCTCACTGAACCTGGAGCTCACTGGTTGGCAAGTCCTCTTGTCTTCACTTCCCCAGACTGTGGCTACAGGTTGGAGTCTGCGCACCCGGCTCTTCTACGTAGGTGCTGAGGATTCCAGCTCAGGCCTTCCTGTTTGTGTGGCGAGAGTTTTACCAACTGAGCCATCTCCCCAGTCCCTGAGCCTCCTTCAAAGCTCAACTCAAACATGGCTTCCCTTCGGGGAGCTTTCCTGAGGACACCCCATACTCTACCCTGCCCCTGCAAAAAAACTACTCTCAAGGCAGTGACTTCCAGACCAGGCTACCTTCTGCTAATTGTTTTAGGTCACACTACCCATACTAGCGCATAGCCATTGCACACTCTATACATAGTTCACCAGCTCCTAACATCAGCTCCGGCCCCGGGGCTCACTCTACAGCTGTTGCAGGAGTGAGTGAAGGCCAAGGGCTTTGCTTTCCTTCCCAGCAGCAGTCATTCCTGAGCAAGTGCCATCAAAGAGGATGAATCTGTCACCGCTAAACTACCAGTTGTGAATCAGAGGTCTTTCCCCTTAACCCGAGACTTGCTGCCTTGTGGACTTTTCTTCAGTTCCTCCTTGCAGCCTCATAAGGAAGGGCGCCTGCAGATGGCGGAGTGCCAATGGGCAGAAGGTGATGGGAGGGCTCTTTGGTTTGGGAGTTTGGGGGCTTTAGGGGGGCTTATTTCTGATGCTGAAAAATTCAGACCAGGGTCTTCTGGGGCATGCCTCTCCACCAGTGTCCCACACACTGTACCCAGGTCCAAGGAGGGGAACTGAAGTCTTCTTTCTCTTTTCCCATTCTCCTCGGGAAGCCCCTGAGCCACACGGCCAAGAATGCCTCTCTCATTAAGGTGACCAGAGCTGGCACTTTTGCTCTGTCTGGCTCCTGTCTGACAGCCAACCTTCTTGCCACCACTAACCAGGGATTCAAAGGGACATGTCAGGGACTCAGGATCAGCTGATGGCCCAGACTAAGGCTCAATTCTCATCTTTCAGGGACCCTGTCTCCTAGCAAATCCACGGTCTGAGTGGCAGCTCCCAAACCTCCTCAACACAGGCTTCATTCTTTCTTGACTTTCTCAGCGTGTTTATGTATTTGTACACGTGTGTGTCACGTGTGTGTGGATGTCTGTGGAGGCCAGAAGAGGGCATCAGATCCCTGGAGCAGGAGATGCAGGCGGCTCTGAGCCACCTGACATGGGTACCGAGCAGCAAAAGCTCATAACCACAGAGCCACCTTTCCAGCCCGTCTGTGCTTTGGCCCATTAGAGGGGCCCTGAGAGCAGGGCCGTTGTGTTTTCCTTTTAATCAGAGCAGAGAGGTGGCTTCGGGGGTGAAGCGCCTCCTCTGCAAGAGTGAGGACCTGAGTTTGGATCCCTAGAACCCAATAAAAGTCAGATGTTCCTGTGACATAGATCTGTAACCACAAGGCCAGGGGCAGAGTCAGGCAGGTCCCCCAAACTCACTGGCCCGCCGGGAGAGACTATCAGTGAGCACCAAGCTCAGTAAGCTATAGAATATTCATGAAAGATTCCCAATGTGTTCTGCTGGTCCCACCTGCGCATGCGTGCGCGCGCGCACACACACACACACACACACACACACACACACACTAGTGTGAACTCGGAGGGTCAAAGAGAGCACCTCTATTAAGCCTTGCAGGCACAGAGACAAGGCTGTCTATGGAATTCAGAAAGTTCTTTGTGCCAAGTCACATGCCCAGGCCTGCCCGTGCCAGCCGAGCAGCAAAGAGGGTGAGGATGCGCTCTATACAGTCTGTGCCCGCGATGAGGTTGATGCATGGCTCCTCGCTTCTGCCAAGACTGCCGCCCCGACTCTCTGATGCTCTGCCAAGATTTCAAGGTGAAGATGCAGGGGAGGAAAAAGGGACTGTGCAGAGGACACAAGCCAAGAGACCCATCCGTATAGCTGAGGTGGCAGTTCCAGGGGTATAAAAACCAAACCTCATTTCCAGCCTGCAGAACTGGCCCACACTGGGCAGTCTCAAAGTCAAGTTCACAGAGATCTCATATGAGGCAGATAGTGTTGGCCAATGATGCATCTGGTTCTCTTGCCTAATCATTTAGTGTGTTGATTCAGAGGCTTGACTTCCGTCATGACTGTATCCAGAGAAAATAGTACATCCAGAGAAAATAGCCTCCTCAGTGCTGCCCCTGCAGCTCCATCCCCTGTCTGTAGTGGAAGGCATGTCTTCTAAATTTTCAGATATACTTCCAGTATAAATGGGCAGGGAGAGAAAAAAAATAAATGGAATTTCCTATTCAAGAATGTGGAGGATGAGCCAGATAGAGTGGTGCATCCTCTAATCCCAGCATTTGGGAGGTAGAGGCAGCGGATCTCTGTGAGTTCGAGGCCAGCCTGGTCTACAGCGTGAGTTCCAGGACAGCCAGGGCTACATAGATAAACCCTGCTGGGGGGCGGGGGTGCTGTGGGTTTGATGGTATTAGCAGTGGTAAGAGTTTTGTTTGTTTGTTTGGGTTTTTGTGGTTTGGTTTGGTTTCTAGATTTATTTTATGTGTATGAGTGTTTTGCCTGCATGTATGTATATTACCACATATGTACGGTGCCTGAGAAGGCTGGAAGAGGGCATTGGATTCTCTAGAACTGGAGTTATGGAGGACTGTGAGCT